TCGGGGTGTCCACGGGCAGCAATGCAGCTTGAGCTAGAGCGTTTGAACAGCCACCGCAACGTTAATCATGACATGCAGATAACAAACAGCCGCGAGAGGTCTTTCTGGCAGTTGTTTTATTGTTTTAGTAATGGGCATTTAGGTGTAGTAGTACAAACCATCATGAACTTCTCTTTCAAACCATCATGAACGTCTCTGTTTCATGGACAGGTAACGCAACCCTCTCTGACACTCGTCTTCCCTCTGCATGAGAAGTGCAAGCAAATTCATCCTTGCCCCCGCAACTCTCGGCATCTGAGACAGACTGAATCAGAGCCCTGGCCTAGTCAAGTGAGACTTTAGTGTAGTATTAGCATTAGTACTAGTAATTATTAGTATTAGACTTAGTCTTCGTGTTAGACTTAGTATTAGTATTAGTAGTATGGCAAGGTGCAACAGGCATCCCGTCCACACGCTTCCAAGTCTGCTCCTCTTGTGGGATGCAATGAACCCATACATTTTAGGCTTAGGGCCACTAAATCCTCAAGTTCTAACGCATGCAGAGTTTTCTAAGCCCGTTAATCCCTAAACTGGATCCGAAACATGCATGGCTACATCCTATCTTCTGCTCTGCAGCTGCTAGCACGCGGATTCTGCATGTAGGCTCAAAGCCCAAATCTAGTCTCTGATGTCCCGAGACTCTCCGGGACCATTTGGGATGGCCACCCTGGGAGACCTTCTGTCCTGATGAGTTACCCTAACCCCCCAGGTACCTACTACATAGGGTACCAGCGCCCCTAGGGCCCTATATAGTGGGTACCTGGGGGGTTTAGGGTTAGCTATTCCATCACTAGACCCCTAAGGCCATAGCCTGTCTGCGTGCGCTTGATGCATGCTGCCCTAAATCACTTCCCCGTCATCGAGCTGGGGCTATGGGCTGCGAGCATCGACTGGAGTGGCACAAGGGGCAGTGGCAGCTTGAGGCAAAGGTGTATAAAGAAAAGGAAACCCTAGCACCCTCGACTTAGACCCTAACCTCAAGGCCCTCAGCTTCACAAGAGTGGCATTCTCACTTAGACTCACGGTCCCTGTTCTGCGCTCAGGGTCCCGGAACACACACATACCCTAAACCCTAAACCCTAAACCCTAGGCCCCTTAACCCTATATATATATATATATATGTATGTATACATATATATATATACACATACATATGTGATACTATATGAGTATACACGTATATGGGAGCTCCTTAGGGTTTTCCGGCTCTAGAGACTCCAGGGTTCAGGGGTTTGCACGCTAAGGGGTTCAGCAGTCCAGGTGGGTTTTAGAACGCACCACGGTTAAGGTTTAGGGTTTAGGGTTTAGGGTTTAGGGTTCAGGGTTTAGGGTCTAGGTAAACCCTAAACCCTAAACCATCTTCGTTTGTGGACTTGTGGAACCGGTGTAGAGGTTAACTGTGATTCCACAAATCTTTCTTTGCAAGAGGTACTTCCTTACTGTTTGGGGTTCCTCAGACCCTAAATGGCCCTAAACTGAAGTCTTTGCCAAGCAAAGGAGGCACTGCCTGTGTTCGTTGCTGTGTAGTACGAGAGCCTTCAAGATTTGAAAAGGAGTACTGGCCTAGGATTCCCCAGAGCCTTGTACTGCTTTTGCTTATGATAGCACCGCTCAAATATTTGTCGGAAGCCTGGCCTAACTCCTTCGGTGGCCGACTCTGTGAGAGGAAGGGTCCGGGCAGGGCCCTAAGACTTCAGGGCAGCACTTGAGGGTTTGGTGTTGGTGTTGATGGATTCCTGCCCTTTTTCTTCGCATGTGTTTTCCGAGGGCTAGACCTTATTGTCCACGAAACGATGGGGGACGAAATAACACAGAATCCTTAGATTGCGGCAGCCCTTCTGTGCCCTCAGAACTAGATTGCAAACCCGCAGTACCGCAGTACCCGTTATGTTCACGCCGACAACAACAAGACTAAAACACACAAGTTCAGAGTGAAGCTACTCGTCTCGGAGACCTTGAAGCTCAGACTGTGGAACAGGTGCCGGTATCATCGAATGATACCAAGGCTCTCAGCGGTGTCCTCAGCTTGAGTTCAACTTTTTCTGTGATTTTACAGTGGTATGTACTAAACTGACGTGTATGGCCCTGTACGGTGGAACACCGCAAGAGCCACGAGCAAGGGTCGTCGAAGCTCTGCGGACTATATCGAGCCCCCTGCTTCCCCAGGAGAGTTTGGCTGACATGGTTCGCCCAGCCAGGGAGAAGTTTCACCAACGTAGCAAGACTACTGTTGTTGTTCGTGTAGCCCTGCGCCAAAGCTCCTTGAGGTGTCGATGTTGCACCAGGCGAAGTTCGCATTGGTGGCCTTGACAAAGAGCTTTGCATCACGGTTCCGGAACATGCACCTCGGCAAAAAGGATAGACAGACTAGCAAGCGGCATGCTATCACAGAGGTGCTGAATTTCCGGATTAGCGCAGTGCGGCATTATGGCATACAGTGATGTACATGGTACTGCATGACTCGTTGGCATCTTGTTCTAGGGTTTTCAACTCGAGGCTCATGACTCATACTGTCAGTACTAAACAGATCTGGGTGCAGGTGGATGGGCTCCAGCAATTGGCCTTGTCGTGATGCCACTGTCCACGTGCCAAGTACTAGTAGCTACGGTTCAGAAATCACAGCTGGCAGACGAAGCAGGTCTTTTCGGGATCCATCTCCAACCTGCACGCTCTTCACACACAAGAGGTAAGAATAGCCTCAGCGCATATCAGGGTGGGTGTAGCCGAAACCTCGAGGTTGGTGCAGGTGTCGAACAACCGCACCGAGTTGAAGCCAGGGAAGTGTAGACATGTAATACCTATAGTCTCCATTGCAGTTCCCTTTTGGGGATGCCCTATAAAATCCTTAATATATGGCTGGTTAAACCAAAACAAGGAACTACAATGGAGACTATAGGTAGAGTGCTATAGCATCGCAAACTAGTCGCAGCGCCTGCAGCGGTACTCGTCACGGCCTTGGCAACGTTACTGTTTCCCTAGGGCTCCAAGTATACAACTAGTACCTACTTTGGGATCTAAAATCTGTAAATAGTATCTACATTGGGCTATTTGGAGCCCCAGGGTTTGCACAGAACACTTCAAACGCATTGCAGTTGTTTGAAGAATTACAGCGGCGGTAGCAAAGGGTAGCAAGTGTTATGGTTATCCCTGGTGTTATGCTTTTCGTTCCCAGTCGCTGGATCCTTGCCTTTGCCAAAGCTTTCGACAGGCGCCTGTCGACGTCGAACGTTGTGTGACCAAGCTCCGCCAGGGGAGGCAAGTGCACGGCCGATTATGATTATAGTCTAAGGACTTTCTAGTTATAGTGTAATAATTACCTATACTATTTTGGGGGTTCCTTATTATAGTTATTGTATAATGGGCCCCAAGACCCTTTTGAAATTATTAAGGCCCCTACATTAAGTCCTAAACCCTAAACCAGCACGAAGCCTTCGGGGCAACCAGAGTCCCAGCCGGTGTGGTCTAGAGGATCAGGGCGTGTGCGCTGTGGCAGTTAGCACCTCCACCAGATAACTTAGACGGGCACTGCGCCCCTAAACCCTGAACCCGAACCCTAAGCCCTAAGCCCCAAACCTAAACCCGAAACCCAAAGCCCTTAGCTCCAAACCAAACCCGAAACCCTAAGCCCTACCCAAACCCTAAGCCCCAAACCCTAAGCCCTAAACCCCAAACCCTAAACCCGAAACCCTGAGCCCTAAACCCCAAACCCTAAACCCTAAACCCAATAAGCCCTAAACCCTATAAGCCCTAAACCCGAAACCCTAAGCCCCAAGCCCTTAGCCCCCAAAGCCCCGGAGTCCGAAACCTCCTGCCAGGCTGGTGCTTACCTGGCCCCTGGCAGCCCAGGGCTGCGATCCTGGGTTGCCCAGCAGTGCCCTTTTTCCCCTTTTTCTTTTTGGGTTTAGGGTTTAGGGTATGGGGTTTGGGGTTTAGGGTTTTCTTTTTGAGTTCCCTCCTTAAAAACTTAAATAGTAGGAAAAAGGGCACCCTTATTTCTAAGTTGCTACTGGGAAACCTAGGATCGGGAGTGCCTGGTGATCAAGAAGAGCTCAGAGCCGCTGCAAAAGGGGTTTATTAGGGTTTAGGATTCATTGGGTTTACGGTTTTGGGTTTAGTTTTTTTTTTTTATACGGCTTATAGGGTTTATAGGTTTTAGGGTTTAGGGCTTGGGGTTTATGGGGTTTAGGGTTTAGGGTTTATTGGGTTTAGGGTTTAGGATTCATTGGGTTTCGGGTTTAGGGTTTATAGGGCTGATAGGGTTTAGGGTTTAGGATTCATTGGGTTCAGGGTTTAGGGTTTATAGGGTTTATAGGGTTTAGGGTTCATTGGACTTGCAATCATGGAGGGTTTCTGGTTTAGGGTTTGGGGAGCATAGCAGAAAGGATAGCAAAAGCAGTAATAGCAATTGTAACAAGCATAGTAATATTGCTCAATCATAATAAGAATACCAAAAACGTATTGATGACACATAGTTGTAATAATATTTATGGAAGTAAGGGTTCTAATCATGAGAACGATAAGAGCAATAACAAGTACATGAACAGTTATTTAAGCAAATGAGTACATACACGCATGTGTATATAAATGTAGGTGTATATACATATATATATATATATATGTATGTATGTGCGTGTGTGTTTGTATATACACATAGATAAACATGTATGTATATGTACGCTTGTTGGTCCTTGGTCCTTAAAACTCAGACTCAGGAGCCGCTACTCTTCGTTTGCCACGATTTCCTGGACAAGCGCCACTTGGCTTTGGCTCGAAGGGTTTGAAGGGATGGTGTTGAGGGTAGAGGGCTATGGAGCCCGTAAGTCCGAGTTACATCCGGCTACACGGTTTAGGGTTTGGGGTTTAGGGTTTGGGGTTTGGGGTTTAGGGCTCAGGGGTTCTAATTGAAAGCTACGGTGTCTGGCCTAAAGCATCGGACTGAGGAACATGCGCTGACATCATCCATGCCGCCAAGAGCTTTGGTAAAGCGACTCCTTGTGTGCGGTGAGGATGTTAAGTGTCCCGGCAGCACCTACACCCTAAACCCCTAAACTCTAGACCCCTAGACCCTAAACCCCGAAAGCCCTAAACCCTTAAACTCTATACCCTTAACCCCAGAACCCTAAAGCCCTAAGTGCCCAAGTCTGGTTTGGACACCGGTTCAAAGTTTTAGGTGCCATTGTGCTGGTGCCCGGCCTCAAGATCCGAATCATTAGTGTTTGCATCCATCAGTAGTATGTGGATGCATACCCTAAACCAAACCCTAAACCCTAAACCCTAAGCTCTAAACCCCAAACTTTTAACCCTAAACCCTAAACCCTAAACCCCTAAAGCCTAAACACTCTGTCACAGTCTATGTCCGGCGGTGTCTTGCTGCTGTACAGCCAGACTGCAGGTACGAGATGCCGTTGTGGCCAGAAGAATCTGGGTTTTGCACTGGAGCGCTTGTGTTGGTTCCACTGTTGGTAGTGGTGGTGGTAGCAGCAGTAGCAGCAGCAGCAGTTGTAGGAGGAGGAGCATTACCAAGAGTAGTAGGAGGCGTCGACAGCATAGGAAAAGCAGCAGTAGCTACCACTCATGCTGCTGTTGCTGCTGCTTCTTTGGCCGGCGAAGCATCCAGAGTCATTCGTGCATCCGCGATTGAAGTGCTAAGAGCAGCATTGCATGTCCGAGTGCTCCCAGGAACACCCTGGACTGGAGCCCGGCATTTGCGGGCAGTTAGAGTTGATTTACAGGACGGGAGTGCGCCACCCTAAACCCTAAACCCCAGCTCAGATTCGAGACCCCAAGCCCCAAATCTCAAACTACCTTTCGACTGCATGCGCTGTGTCTGCCTGTTGTCAAGACATGCGCGTCGTGATTGCTAGAAACTTGGGTGGGTACCTGACTGTTTTTTGTTTTGAGAGGTTGGCTTCGGCATTGGGCAAGTTCTGGAGCAGTCGCTGATTCATCCGGATATTAGAGTCCTCCTCCTTGGTAGATTTTTTCGAAGAACTTCATAGCCTTAACCAACGGTGTTTGAATATGACCATCATCATAATCATTATTCTTACTTCTTATGTTAATTTCTTATTTCCAAGTACTCGCCTTACTTGTAGCACTGTTCTTGTTCTTTCCACTGAATCAGCAGTATGAGAACTCAGTTTACTCCTCTCATGTTCTTAGCAGCCTGTGAGTTGTACTTACTATTGCTACCAACGATGACGTCCCTTATGTTTTATCTTGTTCCTCATGTTCTTCCCATTGGAGGTCCTATTGCTGTTGTTACCATGATCATTGTGGCATGTGCACCCATGTCCGTCGACATGTAGGGTTACGTAGAAGCCAGAGTGTCTTACATGCACAGGCTAAAACTGTGGGTGAACCCGAAGCACTACTAGAGCCCTCAAGCGACCCTTTTGGGCCTAGGGTTTAGTAGGTATCCTTTAGAGCTCATAGGGTTTAGGTTGCATACGGCCCCCACTCAGTAGCAGCGATGTATGAGGCCCTTAGTCTTTTGGACTATTACTGTATGCGGGCAGTATTCAAGTTTTAGGGCGTTTGGGTGCCCCCCAAAACCCAAAACCCCAAACCCTAAACCTTAAGGCATGCCGACGCCAGGAGATTAGATCTGCTTTGTGGCACACCGAGGCGGCGAGATGAACAGCCGCCTCGGGTGCCCTTTCGAAAGGAATTTGGGTTTAGGGGGGTTTAGGGTTTAGAGGGGTTTAGGCTTTGGGGTTTTAGGGTCGAGGGTTTTGTATTATGATTTCTTTACAGTTCCTGGCGACGGTAGTAAACACATGTACCCCAAATCCCTCTCATCATTGTTAAGTCTTGAGGCCTCAAAATTAGCCTCGGAGGTTTGCACGGCTGTTACGAGGGGTTGGGGCTCGAGCTTCGCGTTTCAGGGATCTGGCTGCAATGCTTTCTGCCCAAGAGACCCCTAATGCCAGTCCCCTCAAATCCGGTAGCGCTTGATTTGGCCCGAAACCTACTCCGTGTTGCTGTTCTGCTCAAGTGAAGAAGCCTCTTCACATCCTCAAGGGTCTTTCAGGGCTTCTATGTTTAGTTTTTGTCTCGGGGGGGGGGGAGGGCTATTGGATTGTGAAGAGCTTCAGGCAAGCCTCCAAAGCCTAGCATCATGAAAACCCCTGCACCAGTAGGTTTAGGGTTTTGGGATTCAGGGATATTCAGGGTGTAGGGAGTGTAGGGTTTGGGCCTTGGGCTTTGATATATTACCAGGGCTGGATCCCAAAAAAAACCGTCAGAGGGAGAGAAGCCTTCACAAGTGAGTATCTTCTGGCTGGCATGCTCTCTGCCATCATTGGAAGTCCTTTTAGTTAGCCTCGTAAAACCCTTAAGCAGATTCTGCTCTAACGGTCGGTTGGCCCAATGAATCTTCCAAGTTCTCCGGGGCCGAAACCAACCACTCCCCGGGCCTTCGGCCAAGCTTTACATAAGCCGGCTCTATGGCCTACCTTTTGTCTCCATTGTAGTTCCTTTTTTTGGTTTAACCAATTAGATATTCAGGA